TTTCCTTTTTTTTCTTGCGAGTATTCGGTTCTTTTAGCCTTAGTAATCCGACGTACTTCCGATCAAAAATCACTAGGTCATTTGATTATTAAATTTTCTTCACTTCTTTCTTCATTCCATTTATCCTTATTATCCAAAAGTTTATAGCCTCGTTCACTTTTCATTTCCTTTTCCAAAAAATCGAACAATTTATCCATTTCCTCGTCCGTTGGATATCCCACTTCAATTTTTCGGCCAAACCGACCAGCCCGCACTAATGCGTCGTCCAAGGCCTCCGGATAATTAGTTATTCCAATTACAATGATATTTAACTTTTCTCGGTTTATATCGTCAAACATGGTTAACAAACCATTTACTTCATCCCGGCTAGAGGAATTATTGGCATTAGTATCTTTTATCCCCACTGAGTCCAGTTCGTCAATTACCATTACTACTGGTTTAATTTTTTCTTTAATTCCTAATCTTTTTTGGCGGTTCTCTTCAACCTTTAATATTCGTCGGGCTTCTTTTAAAGCCGCTTCTTGCTTGGCGATACTGGAGCCTTTTCAGAGAACCGTATCAAATTTCACGAAAGCGTATCGCAAAGCCTCATTTTCGCAAAAATCTCGAGCCAAGTAAGATTTTCCGGTACCGGGTGGACCGCTAATTAAAACATGTTTATCAACTTCCGGACCTTCTTTAGCAAAATAATTAGGAAGATATTTGAAAGAATTAATTCAAATTTCCACCTCTTTACGAACATCATCTTTAACAATACGCTCTTGGATTCAATTTTCATTTTTTTGAGCCGGGTCGGGCTTAACAAAATTAGAACTGTATTCATGACGGTGTTCTTGTCGACCAGAACCATCCTCATCATCCGAATTTTCTTGATGATTGGTAGTTTCTGATTGCCTTTTTAATTTTCTTAATTCGCTATTAGTTTGAGAATTACTAATTAAAATGATTAAAGTAGTGAAAAAAAAACTTCCGCCCACTAGATAGTAAAGTTTATGTTTTTCTCAGTGGCTTTTTTCTTCCGGAATGTTGTCACTAATCTCTTTTTTTT